TAACGCCAAGCTGTGTGTCTCAACATAAATTCTCACTTCTTATATTTGTTTGACGATTTCACCTTGGATGTTTATTTTAATTATCTGGGGCGCAATGAACCTATTCAGCAACGTTACCTTGCAAATGAATATCAATATGTTTGTTCTGAGAAACAAACAAGAATGATTACAAATCAATTATATCATTATGTTTGTGTGGAGCAGTGTATACTCTCCGAGATGTTTTGTTATTTTATCGAGAGCCCTGCTACGACTTCTTTGATATGCACAATTCGATGTTTGCGTGGTCTTTATCAAGTCTAGCTATAAGACACTCAATTTAAATATTTGTATTTCCAACAGAATTCGTTTAAATATACAGGAACTTGAGCGAAAACGGTATCACTACAGTTTCGTGATTTCGAAGAGTTGGTCAGACAAAATTGTTGTTAGTTTTTTCGGTGTTTCAACATTCGTTTTCTGTTGAGAAGGTAAACAAGCATGTCAATTTCTCGCGTCATTTGTGTGACATAACGTTTGTGCACTAAACATGTCATTAATAGATACCAGAGCCAATAGGAAAGTCGCCATTTTTTAGTGTCGCAATACCTACGTACATTGAGAAACGAAATACGTTAATTCAAGTTAGTCAAGAGTTGAAGTAATCACTGTCCGAAGACCTCCACGTAGACGTTGACGTTCGAAAAATGACGTTTTCATATTGTCAAATTGAGTTGAAGTCGTCATTTGGGTGTCAATGTCATCGTGACGTAGGTAATAATCAGAAATAATACCATTCGTTTTCGCTTTGTATTGGTAATTTTTTGTTGTTTGTTCAGATCTGAATATTTATTCTTGTTGAATGAGAGGACTCCTTAATGCAGAACTCCTTGAAGATCCTGATGAATTTGATAATTTTGACTCATCGGCATATTAAGAGTATAGTTTGTTCAATGTACGTTGATATACGTTGATATAAACGCATGCGTATTGCTGTCAATTTATACGTTTACGTTAACGTTCATCGCAACACTTCAACTCTCTAGTATTGTTGCTGCTTCATTCTGTTCACCGAAACACACTTCGCTTAGTTTCAAAATATAAATGATTCGTTCTGATCCCAACTATTATAGTTTCATTATGACATTGTGTTGCAAAATAACACAAAAAAGACTTGTTGCACCAACAAAATTGACTTACTGAACTTTTTTTCTGTTGAATTGAATATATTTTTGCGATATCAACGACACATATAGGTATTCATTCCTAATGAGCAACTTATTCCAAAAGACAAAATATCACAATTGAAATATTCGCGTACCTGAACAAAATGTCATTTCATTCTACAATATTAAATAGTTGACATGGAATGAATTCGTTGATTCCACTTTCATTTCATTGTTCAATCAATCATATGCATATTATTTCTTTAATTAGTTTTAACACCACATCTTTTGACAACAAAATTTAAATAGTTTGTCAAATCTGAAAATCATTATTGATTGATTTTCTATCGATCGAATCAAACTTGTCATTGAATTAAAACTTATTATGTTATATTCAGAATATATGAATATTGCTATCTCAACATTCTCAATATACTCACTGTAGGTATATTGAATTCATAACTTGAACATGTCAATCAACAAAATGTGTTGATCAGAGCAGATTTTCATTATTCCAAATTTTTTGGGATTTTCTCTCCTCGTTTCTATAAAATAAAAATATGAATATAATCTGAATATAGTAGTAGTAGGGACGAATCAGATGATTTGTCCCAGAATGTCACTGCGTTTAAAGAATTTTCCTATCAGAGAGCCTAAAAGGAAAATTCACTAGCTTGTCAGTGACAATTTGTATTGAAAAAGGTTTGTAGAAGAGAAATGAAGGTATATAGAAAATATATCAAATTTTCACTTATCTTTGGACGTTTCGGGTCCGAATCTGATATTTGATATTTTTTCTATATACCTTCATTTCTCTCCTACAAACCTTTTTCAATACAAATTGTCACTGACAAGCTAGTGAATTTTCCTTTTAGGCTCTCTGATAGGAGGATTCTTTAAACGCAGTGACATTTTGGGGCAGATCATCTGATTTGGCCTTACTACACGTATATTGAAATAATATTCATATTTTTATTTTATAGGAACGAGGAGAGAAAATCCCAAAAAATTTGGAATAATGAATGTACCACCTCCTCGATCAACCTACAGACAGTATTTAGAGAGATTTTTTTTGTTTTCTATCCGATTCTATCTCTTGGATGTTGTATCATAGGACCAAATATCCCTTGTACATCCAACCAGTTATAGCTTTGACTGTATTAGTAATTAGTTATATGAATAAATTTTGAGTTAGAACATAACTTGAATTAACGAAATTTCTGTTGATTTGAAAATTTTTCTTCTTGGTGTGAGATCAGATTTTCAAATCAAGGATTTTTTTGTACTGGCGTCTCAACAAAGCTAAAATATTTTTGAATGCCCTGTGGTACTGAATATTGTCATGAATTTGGAAAACTCTCGAAGAGTGTCCCAGTATAAAAATAATTGAAAGAAGTAAACTGCAACAAACTATACTTTTGTTGCTGCTTTACCTATATTTCAATATATCATACTCAGCCTGGTTGGTAAAATATGATAGCTTTAATTCCGGCAACAAAACACTATAATACTCATTAACAGCAAGGTATATTTCAAGGTATTTTTGTTTCATGATGACTCCTTATTTCAGTCGTTGTATCCCGAAATAAATTCATTATAAAATGTAATAACAAGCATAAAAATATTACTGGAATAAAAATACCAGAAGAGGCTCCGACGGTCATGGCATACATCCAGAAATAAATAATTGTACACGATATACCCACGTGAGGAATGGTGGATTTATATAGCAAATGCATTATCGAAGTTGTTTGTGCTCGAGTTAATTCCATTGAACGTGATATATTTTCAATCTGTGATTTGTATAGAAGCACAACACTGCTCTACAAATATACAGCAAAACCAGAAAGGTTGAAAACATATCATTGTGAAAGATTCACAAGCTGAACTTATCCTATTTTAGGACTTAAAGATCTCAGGAACATATTCTATCCTGATTTGATTCGTTCTCAAAGTTAATAAAGAAATACAAGTTTCATTCCATCACAATGTAACCGCTGAAAGTTGAGAAGAGAAACCGAAAATTGAATAAATTGGTGAGACCCTAAGGACAAATGGAATAGTGATATAGTTTATATGTATCTTCCTAAAAAGTGAGCAACTGAGAAGAAGTCCCAAATTCTAAACAGAACTATGAAATGACATTGAATATTTCATGAGAAGGACCCCATGTTTATTCACTATAGGGTTTTAACAGGAAGAAAAACACGTACAACGAGACCAGATTCAAAATGTTGATGTAAATGCTGAGTGCTCCATTAAAAACATCCAATCGATCAATCAATCAATAAATCAATCAATCAACTTTATTATTCTCAAAGAAACAACAATTGTTTATAGCAGGGAACATGGTGAATACATAAACATATTTGACAAAATAAAATATCTGGATATCCATAATACGTATTATTCTGAAACAGCCTGAATTTTGCCATCACAAAAAGCTGTACAGGGTAGACAAAAAATTCTATGCCTATCCTCAACTCAAAAACTATGAAGCGAATCCGAACATTATGTTCATAGGAACTTTTAGTCCTAAAATGATCCAACGAATTTGAAGTCTCAATATATGCATGATCGAAGTGATATTCTATCAATCTGAACTAACCGAAATGATTCACCAGAACTGAACTGAATCAGTTATGATATCCGTTCTTTCGAAAGGCTTCAATTCAGTGAAATACTTCAGTTAGTTTGGAACAAAAGTATATTCCTCGAGTATATGATATCGAGTAACACCATCATATATACTGAAATTGAACCCTTCTCTGTCCAGGCAAATCATTTTGCCTTTTAAGTCATGCAAGAATATAGATTTCGAAATTATAAATCGAATATGTTCTTATAGAAGTATACCATTTACTTCATATCAAAAGCACACGTCATTTCCATAATCTTAACTTCTCATTGAGGAAGTTTTCAATATTGTGATTTTCATGTCACTATAGAGTTCAAGAAATTCTAATTTCACGTTTTTTTTTTGGGATAATCAACGTTTACTTCAGAACAAATATGAATGAAAAAGGAGCTTGGCCTTTTCACTATAATATAAAAATAAATTATAGAAATATCATAACAGCAATGGGATATAATAGGTTTGCTCAAATTTACCTTCGCTGAGTAATATGAATAATTATCATAAATCTCTATTTGCTGGCTGAAGTTGAGTTCTAATGAAGGTTCATCATGATATTTCACAATATTATCTATAACTTGTCACTTTCGTTTTATCATAAAATGATATTCATATTTTGTCAGTCTATAAGTTCTTTTGTTAGTTAGGTGATCATCGCTATTTTTCATTATATAAACATCAACAACGACGCCGTTGTCATCTTCCATTTGTTTTATTCTTCATCATCAGCATCAGAGTATATTCAGAATATACGTCAAAGTTTGATTGAGAGAGAATTGGAAATGCTTTATCTTGAAAATAAAAACGACTTGGACTTCATCGATCGACTTTCTGTACAGAAAGGTCATTAAACTGAGGAGTTCCGAACTAATTTCATGGAAATCTTTCTGAAGAAAACTCCCTTGTTACCAAAACATGAATTAGATGGATTGATGTCAACATATTTTGTTCGAGTTTATCATACACATATTTCAGAATTCAAGCACCAACACACCACTAGGCAAGTTATATTGATAGAAACATCTTCCGTTATTGAAGGTCATGGAGTTTCTCGATCATATCCTGAACACATTTTCAAGAATATGATGTGATCACATCGCAATAGCACTTACGAATCAATATGAAATACAGTGGTACCTACCTAACCAAGGATATCACCTTGAATCAATAGTTCTTCATCAGAGTACCGTTAAATTTTGTTTTGTTTTTTTTTATTTCAGATATCCCTAGTTGATAGCATCCTATAACCATGTCTAAAGACGCAACCAGCATGGTTTGGGACTACCTAGTCTTCGTAATTTTCGTATTAGCCAGCACATTCGTGGCAGTCTATTCGAAATTCTTCGGACCCAAAGAGAAAACGAAAGCTGACTATGTTTTCGCAGCTGGAAAAGTCTCCATGGCAGCCATGATGTTGAGTATAGCCAGAGGAACGCTAGGAGTCAGATCGTTTCTAGGTAAGCTCGATTTTAAGTAGGTACCTACAAAAATCAACAAACATTATTCAAGTTCACAAGATTCGTTATCGTCTACAGGAGCTCTACATACATAACTTGAATGAGATAATCTTATTTTATGCAATAAAACAACTTCATTCATATTGATGAGTCAGCTATTTCAACTAATATAATGTGAGCAGCCACTGAGACTTAGTTCAGGATCGGAATCTATAAAATTCTGAAGAATTATCATTTTCGACATGAGTATGATTCTGGAGTATGGATAATACCTCGAGTTTCTGAAGAATCGAATTAGAACTCCTATTCCTGCTTGCTTCAAGTCAAACATAACATATTGGACACAAGGCTTTTCTCGAATAGCGTGTTCTATATGCTCTTAAATCAATTATTTCAAGTATCAATTTTCTGTCTTCACATAACATTTTCTGCACGATGTCTTAGTTCTATCGACTGAGCATTCTTTATGAAATTGTACGATTCGTGGTTATAATCCTTGAAGCATTTTGGCGCTGAAGAAATGGTTGAGATTTCAACATAAGCTGTAAGCTCCGCTCTTCCTAACTCTGCACCTGCACCTGTTTCAACTTTTAGAGAGTTGGTTTCTGACTATGAAGAAAGATTTTATATTTGGAGTGCAGCACCCAAACATACCCTAAAACTTCTGGATTCTGTCCAAGAAAGGGCAATTCGTCTCGTGAGCAATGCCTCGCTCACAAACTCACTCATTTCTCTGAAACTCCGTAGAAAATTTGGCGATCTGGCCCTATTTTGAGATATTTCCATGGACGATGCTGTTTTGAAATATCAACAATTGTTCCTCCCTTGGCAGTCCCCGCGAGATTAACCCGTCACGTTGAGGCTTCGCACCCCTTCTTGGTCACTTTGGAGACCTACAGAACATCTCTATCCAGACACTCGTTCATACAACGAACAGCGAGGCTCTGGAATACATTGCCAAGGGAGGTGTTCCCCGAGGCATATAACCTCCAGAAATTTGAGAAGAACACCAATTCCTACCTTATTTCCCATGGTTCTCACGATGTTCTCTGAACATAACAGGATATCCCTGAACCAGAACATAGAAAAAGACTCCAACGATATGCTTCCTCTACCGTTTGAATTCATTCAATTTTTCCCTCACTTATTATTTCAATCCTCGTAATGTAGAGCATTCAAAGATGACCCAAAAGGGTTCCATTTTACCCAAATTTTGGCTTAAATTTCTTTTGTTATGAGTAAATCATCAGAATGGTGGGGAAGCCACAATTGTTTCTTTTTATTTCTGACTGGAATTTTATCACGCAACTTGAACATTCAAATTATTTATTCATCTTTATCTAGATGTAGGTGCCATTATATCAAGGCTGTCTTAAATTGCGTTTCATTCCTGTCTTGAGATATGATTATTGAAGAGTTTTTACTGGCTTTATCGGACTTTCTGACCATGTGGTTCTCCTCCAAGTGATTATGCGACGTGTTGATCATCGTGTATTCATTGGTTATAAGAAAATTGATTATTAACTTTATTCAAAACGCTACTGATATGAGATTGTTTTTTATCATTATCAGAAAATATTTGCGTAAGTAGAACAAACATACTACTGGTGAACTATTCAATAACAGAGCGAGGCTTATCAATTGATGCTCGTATAATTTGATTGTGTTGTTCTTTTCCATACACAATGTAATAAAACTGAAATGTCAGTGAATTTTTGTTTCATCTATTGGAGCGCACGAAAGGAAATTCCTATGATGACATTGTCAGTTCCACGAAAAATATGTAGCTGAAACTTGAAGAGAAGTAGAAATAGGATCATCAGAAATCATGTGATATTTGAAACACATCGTTCCTGATTCAATGTAACAATTTGAATTCCGTGCTAGGATCAGGATCATTTCTGGAATTCCATCAGGATTATCGAGAATTCAGAACCTACTATATTACCTATATCAGTCTAAACCACTTTTCCATGCGAAAGTTCCAGACTCTACAAGAGTAAACTGATAGGGGGCAGTGAGAATTATTGTGGGAAGCGGAAATATGTTACCAAACTAGTCAACACAAGGAACGTCACTAATATGTGATTGGAAATCTACAGTTACAATTTTCCACCATAGGCAACAATACACAATATTATGTTCCATGTCGTTCATTTCTGTTAATCATATATTGTTGATGTGGATATATTTATAGGAATAGTCTCAGAAACAATGGATTATTCCTAGTTTTGTTTTCATGGCAAATAATTTCAAGATTCAATGATACAATTCCGAAAATACCAGAATAACAAAGCGAGTCCTGAAAGTTTTTTTTGCTGGTATATTAATGCTATATAATACCTTGGAAACGGTAGCTATTAAAAGATTCATAACGCCCGGGGCGTTATATTCTCATCTTTGGCAATAATTTCATTTTTCTGCAACCCACACAAAAGTCGTCCATTTCAATACCAAAATTAGCTCTTGAATTGACGTTCCTATTACTGACACAACAATCAGTTTGTTGCTTGGGAACACATTCAGTTCCTAAAGTTGAACTTTAGTTCCTATAGGAGCTGAAATTGAACTTCAGCTCCAAGTAACTGAAAAGGATGTACTATAGAGGTCATCAAGAACAAACAACATTGTTACGGTTTCATACCCATGCTGAAGATTTTTTGTTTCGATCAGGGAAGTCTTCAAGTTTCACATACTTGCTTTATCTGTATTTCATTCGTTATTCTTCGGATGGATAACTTGTTTCTGAATAATCACAGTCAGCAATAATTTTTTGTCTCAAACAATGATATCGATTAGATCCATTTGATTATCAAGCCAAAGACAGTAGAGTATGGAGAGAAATGAATTATCGCTATTATTTTTGTTGAAATGCTCTCTCTAACCTAACATCTTCCACGTCTTGTTCCTTTGCCTGGCACTGGCGCGGTATTTGCCATTAGATCACCTGTTCCATACACAAATATGTCACTCTGTGGTTGTATTCATATTGAATCTACAATCCCAACATCCTTGAGAATTGAATGAACCTGCTGTTAATGTAGGTAGAGTATTCTCACCACACGGATTATTTGATGCATTGCAATACATAAGGCACGGCATTGGTGAGGTTGGGTACAGCAATTCTGAAGACAAGAAATTTGAAATAGATGTGAATAATTGGTGGTTGCCATTTGAAATTTTTGGGGTAGTTGCCTTGACGGTAAAGGGGTCAAATGTATTGTAACAGTGACTACTTTAACAGTTGTCGCCCTTTGATATATAAATTGAGTTGTTGCGTCAAATTTTCATATTGTCATGAAGAAGTTGAAGCAATATTGATGAGTGCTGCTCGTTTTCTAATTGACACCCTGTATACGAAATTACTGTACTTTCTGAAGGTTTGAAATGTTACTTCTTTGTCAAGGATCACACCATTTGGAGAAAATAGTGAGATCGCATTGCTCATTCGCTGAACTCAGAAATCTTTGAAATCATGGAAAGCTATCAGCTAAAATAATAAGGTTAGAAACCAAAAACAAAATAATATTCCAGGATATGTTCAGTGTGTCATTTCTTGTGTGTATCTGTTTTGCTGCCGTGAGTTGGGGAATGGCCCTTATGAGGTCCGAAATATCCGAACAATGTTGCCCTCATCATCCACCTTATTCCCGCATGAAAGTTATGCTTATAACCACGGCCCGCCAAATTCTCGTCAATGTGAAATTCCTGCAGAAGCCACAACTCCCGACGGTGGAAACTTCTTTGAGTTGTGTCCACAGGCGTAGACTAACTACGCAGTTACCTGCATAGCAGGCGTGACAAAACGAACTAGATTACTGTCAGTAGCGTCTCGAGAAGTTCGAGGAACCAAGATGTAGAAATCATAATCTTCCCCATTATTGCAGTATCATGATTTTGAATTTTGATTATTGTTAGGAATACTTTTCCATATTTGGAGTGCAGCACCCAAACATACCATGAAACTGTTGGATTCTGTCCAAAACAGGGCAATTCGTCTCGTGGATGATGCCTCGCTCACAAACTCACTCACTTCTCTGGAACACTGTAGAAAAGTTGGAGATCTGGCTCTATTTCATAGATATTTTCATGGACGATGCTGTTCTGAAGAATCAACAATTGATCCTCCCGTGGCAGTCTCCGCGAGATTAACCCGTCGAGTTGAGGCTTCACACCCCTTCGTGTTCACAACATCTCTTCCCAAAGACTCGGTAATCCAACGAACAGCGAGGCTCTGGAACACATTGCCAAAGAAGGTATTCCCCGAGGCATATTACCTCCAGAAATTCAAGAATAACACCAATTCCTACCTTATTTCCGTTGGTTCTCACAATGTCTTTTTTCGTGGGAACCAGAATATAAAAACAAAAAAAAAAATTGTTGTCAGAGTTTCATGAAGCTTCAAAGCAAGCTTGAGGCAGATAAGTTGGCTGGAATAGCATCGATAGTGACCCCATCGGACCTCTTTGAAGAATCCTAGCATAGACTACTAAAATACCTTTTCACACTGAAAATAATGGAATTGAAAGTAGTAGGTTTCTTAACCAGAAACAAGCAACTAAATAGGAACTTCAATCCCATCGAAGTTGTAGTTGATGTCTATAAAAAAACCCTTATCCTTACGGAAATTCCAGATATGAGATACGCTTGAAAGACACAGTTTATTAGCTGCATCAGAGGATGTTGAAAGAATTCAACAAAAATGATTCTTTATAGAGACGAGCAGACTAAACGCCTTGGTGAATGGAATTAACCCACCTACTATCTTATCCCGAAGTGAAAGAGTGCCAATCAGCAAACTATAGAGTAAAAATTCACCACAAGTTCTCCATACTGCTTTCTGAGGTTTGGTCCTAATGGAGTACTGATCCTACGAAGGTATAACTATCTCTAGAACAAGTGAATGTATATAACTAGTATGAACAACTGCCTGGCTATAACAAAAGTCCAGATTAATTTTTACCGCTTGGAGTGCACCATAGGGAATCCCTATAATGTTCGGTGAACATCGTGCATAACTAGGAAGGATAGGGAGAGGAGGGACGAGTTTTGATAAAATTCAGTCCGACATATTCTAAGTATGACAACCAAATGATGTGCTGACTGGGCTTGTCGAGTTCGTCTGACTGTTATTGCTAGTGATGGAATGATAGCAGAGATTTCTGGGAAACATTTTTCGTGGAAATATCTAAAGAAGAGTGAAAGGTCGCCAACTTGTGTGTTGCATTACTCACCAGGCGAATGGTTCTTCTCTGGATGGAATCTAAGAGCATCAGCGTATGTTTGGGTACTGAACCCGATATTCTGGAACAGTATTCCAGAACAAGCCATATCCGTGCATTGAAGATCATGAAGATCTGTCGAGTTGTAAAGAAGCCTTCTGCACGGAACAAAAATCTGAGTTTTCGTGAAGCAGCCTTCGCGATGAATCTGTGATTGATGAGTGATGAGAATATTGACATTTATGCAAACCAAATCATCAATTGATGGATTAATAGTATGCAAGCGCAAATGCCCTGAATCTGGACTATCAAAGCAATAACCTTACGAATTTGTTGTTCAGGATTTACAGATGGAGCTAAAATTTCAAATTCCCTTATGTTTTCTGATCTAGAAGACACTGGGTTACTTTCATTCACAATCAATTCTGTTGATTGCAGTTGTTCAAATGTTAAAACAAATTTCATGACATCTGTCAGATATCAGGTCTTCCATTGGTCTGACCAATCCATGCCTTCTCTACCAATCGATGGAACCAATCCGCGATCATCTGCGTACTAGTTGCGCACTAGAAGAAAACCTGGTTCAATCAAAGTAAGAAAGTTGAAAGTTGTCCAACTTCTTGCTTGTTACTTGTTGATTGATAATCGTTAAATGTCTGCATGAACACCTCCATCGAAAACAGGAAGTTCAACTTTTAATTGCTACTCGTTGAATGATAAATGTTACTTGATGATTGTTAAATGATGCTGTACAAGTCCACCTTAAAACGGTGTATGAACAATGATGAGCGTTCCTTTTGTTTGCAGGTTACCCCTCAGAGCTGTTTTACAGAGGTGCCACCATGTGGGAAACCCTCTACGGTATGGTCCTCGCATACCCCATCGTCTGCTTCGTCTTCGTGCCGGTGTACTTCAGCCTTAGCATCACCTCGGTGTACCAGTACCTCGACCTGCGCTTCAAGTCCCGCCTGGTAAGATGTCTGGCCAGCGGTACCTACGTGCTGAGGCAGCTGATGAACCAGGGAGTGACGGTGTTCACCCCTTGCGTGGCCCTCAACACGGTCATCGGGATACCTTACTGGGCTTCGATCACTGGCATCTCGTTCGTCAGCATCATCTTCAATATTTTGGTGAGTATGCGAACGACAATGAATTACCTCGACTCATGCTGAGAATTCCTTCTCAGAATCATACCTCATACTGTACATGAGACATTATTACGATTTTGAAAGAAACTAACAAGAAATTGTTTCGATTTGTGTATTGTATCAACAAAGACCTGTGTGTCTTGGGTATCGGATGCCAAAGCGACTGCCGACTATTCAAAAAACGCTCCGTGTATCTCCCTTTGAGGAAGTTTGATGGGTGGTAAGTATTTATGATGAATAGTTAATTCAGATCGACTGTTTATTTGTTAACCATGTCCACATCGATATAAAGGCGTTGCCATGACAAGGTAGATATACCTCGTCGACAAAGAAACCCGATCATTATTACTCCTCAGGCACGGACTTTCAAGCGATAATTCGAGAAGATTGAAGATTATTTGGGTACATGGTGATCATGATACCTTACCCAGCTTCGATCACTGGAATCTCGTCCGTCAGCATCATCTCCAATATGTTGGTGAGTTAGAGGGGTTGATGGATGGCGAATGCTACTGGCGAGTATAGGTCATGATTAGACAATTCCACAGGTCAATCTCCTGAGAACCAGTTATATCCTTCCATCAGAATATTGTGATCATATCGAATCTGCCGTGGCATCTGAATTCTGGTTTCGCAGAAGACATGAACGTCAATTTCATTCGTGACCACGTCACTGAATAGTTAAAAATCTGGAGGGTACCTCCCATGCCGTAATGAGTTTGCGCCTTCGAAGTGAGCAGGTGATCTTTCGTTAGATGTTCGTTTTCCTCATTTCATCACCTGGAATAATCTATTACGATAATCAATATCCAATGTACCAAAGCATAGAGTTTTGTAACTGATTGTTGAGGCAGCTTATGAACCAGGGAGTGACGGTGTTCGCTCCTTGCGTAGCCCTCAACACGGTGATCGGGATACCTTACTGGGCTTCGATCACTGGCATCTCGTTCGTCAGCATCATCTTCAATATTTTGGTGAGTATGGGTACGGACACGAACGACAATGAATTACCTCGACTCATGCTGAGGATTTCTTCTCAGAATCAGACCTCATACTGCACATTATTGCGATTTTACAAGGAACTGACAACACATTGTTTCCGTTTTGTGTGCCGTATCAGCAAACACCCGTGTGTCTTCGGCATCTGATGCCGAGGCGGCTGCTGACTCTTCAGAAGACGCTCCGTGTATCTTCCTCTGAGGAGGCTTGATGGGTGGCAAGTATTTATTATGGATGGTTAATTCAGATCGACTGTTTTTTCGAGCTAAAATCTACTTTTTTCCCTTGTATGATAAATAACTATTTTTCTTCTCGAACATTTCGAAAATTAATGATTGAATGATAAAACGACATTTTACTAGTGCCTTTCAGTGATCTTTCTTTCTCTTTTTAATAAAAAATCGACAACAACATTCAGAAGATTACTGAAAAACATCATTTTGATGTTGTAGTCGTCTTTTTCATACAATCAATTAATGGTTTTCGAAATATTTGAGAAAAACAGAAAAACACAATTTCAATGTTTCTTGAATAACTCAGAAATGACTGAAGCTTGTCTAGATTTCTCGACGGATTCTGAATCACGATCGAATTTGCTGAAATATTCGTAACCCAATCGAATTCGGGTCACACGATATAACTATTCGTATTTTCGTATAAAACTTAAAAAGTCTCACAATTCTGACCTGATATCGTTCACCCATTGCTCTGCCTTATTTGCTCCAAACACCGTTATTGGAATTCCTCAGCGAATATCTAGTTCGTCGGTATTATTTTCAATATATTGGTGAGTTGTTCAATACTCCAACGGGTAAATACCGTTTGGAGAATTTGAGAGAGTTTGATCTATCCACAAAATTGAAATAACAACGATTTGTTTACCATTGTCTCCGACTCAAATAGCCCATTGGGAATATCGATAATGTTTCAACATTGGGAATTTTTACAGGAAAGTGAATGGGATACATAGGGAGATACAAAACTGTCTGAATGTCTATTGGTTCCTTTGAAGCATAATAATATACCATCACGTCATCTACATATATCAATACCAATACAAATATTGTTTTATCAATGGATGTTTATGTATTATTCGCTCAAGGTTATCCATGAGAATTCCAGCGAGTAAAGGGCTCAGTGGATTTCCCATAATCAACCCTCTTGACTCGGAAAATATCTTGTTGTCAAATTGAGAGTAATTTTGTTTGAGACATATCGACAATGAGTCAAAAATCGCTTGTTTGGTAATTGGATCAACATGGTTTTTATCTGAAATAACGGCCGAGTCAATCCAAAATAACGAATCTGTCGTAATGTGAATCTTTGTTGATACTTGAGTGGAATCAGATCCACCAGCGCAATGAGGGCTAAGATTATTTTTTGTCCACCAAATCGCGCCGCCAGAACATGAGGTCCGGGTTGGTAGAACTGATGAGTATACTTTTAATTTTTGTGTCATTTGGTCATTTGTTGTGCTATCTTCTTTTCCGTCAATGTGAGAATTGGTCGCAAAGTTCCAAATTGATAGTAAAGAAACGTTAGTCTGCTCAAGTGTTTCAATGGTCCTGTATTTATTTATTTATTTATATTTATATTTATTTATATATAGAAAACTAACAGGTTCACACCTAATTACAAGTTTTCTAACCTAAACTAATCTATCCTAACTTCCACTTAGATCTACTTAATAGCAATAATCAATTAAAGAGCAAAAATTATAGAGCCAAAATTGAGCTGATGGGTTAAGTTGTATGATGTAACTTAGAGCCTTAGAGAATACAGGTATTGATTTTAATTACAGTAAATTCAACAAATCCTTCCGAAACTTGGCTAATTTGGTATCAAAAAAACAACTATTCATTCTGTCAACATACTTATTACAGATTTGGAGAATACTGTTCATTAAAGAGCCACTTGTTATCGAAACATGAAAGAGTATGGGTCTGGGACGAAGTGTTCTTAAGGGTACTAGAATATTAATTTGACCTAAAAGGTACTCGCTCTCTATTGATCCATTCAAAATTTTGTGTATAAATTCCATTTTAAAAATAGTTCTTCTGTTCTCTAAATGTTGTATTTTAAACTCATCGCGTATTGGTTGGTAAGATTCGAACCTTGGATTCACTTTGTGTTGACAGTAGTACAGATATTTCAAGAATTTATTCTGCACAGATTCCAAATTTCTTTTCAAGACCTGAACGTGTGGATCCCAAATTATGGATGCAAATTCAAGACGGCTGCGAACTAAATAGTAATAAAGCAATTTGATCGATTCAATATTCCTGAATTCACATGTTGAACGTTTGAGAAACCCTAGCATTCTAAAAGCTTCACTACTCACGATATTTATATGCTCGGTGAACTTTAGATTTTCAGTGAAGTGTACCCCTAAATCCTTCATCGATGAACATCTTTCTAGGATAGTATTGTCCATAGTATAAATGTAATGGTCAGGATTTCTGGATCGATGAAAAGTCATTATTTTACATTTATCAAAATTGAAATATAGTTTATTAACATTGGACCAACTGATAATATTGTCAATATCATTTTGTAGCACTAAGTAATCATTAACGTTCCTGATAGGTCGAAATATTTTGAAATCATCAGCATATAATAAGCAATCAGAAGTCACAAGGTTTGGCAAGTCATCAATAAAGATTAAAAATAGTAGAGGACCAAGATTGGAGCCCTGTGGTACTCCAGATCTTGCAATATTATGTTGATGAGTTGTATCCAAGAAAATTAACGTACTGTGGCCTATCACTGAGATATGACCTTAGCAAATGCACCAACTGCTCACTCAGACCATGAGATAAAAGTTTCACTAGCAAAGTATCATGATCCACTCGATCGAACGCCTTGGCAAAATCCGTGTACACAACATCTACCTGTTCTCCAATTCCAAGGAAGTCTTGGGTCTTATTCACAAAGGTAGCTAGATTTGTTTCAATGCATTTTTTCTTGCGAAAACCATGTTGTTCTGCAGAAATATTATGTTTCACATGATTATAAATTTTATCAAATATAATAAATTCATATAACTTTGCTATACAATTCAAAACAGCAACTGGTCGGTAATTTGCGATCTCACTCTTTGCTCCTTTTTTATGAATAGGAGTTATTTTGGTAGCTTTGAAATGATCAGGAAAAATTCCACAATCCAGCGATTTTTGAAATATTACCATAAGGGGATATATCAAATATTCTCTACAAGATTTTATTAGATAGCATGGAATATTATCAGGACCCGAAGATTTCTTTGGTTTAAGCTTATTGAACGCATTCATCATATCATTGACGGTAATTCTCTTGTACAACAAATGTTGAGCATTACTAACAGGTAATACATTTGCTCGATTATTTATCTGAGCCATATCATATGTTGCAGCATTGCCATTATATACCGAACAGAAAAATCTTGCAAATTCGTTTGAGACTTTCATTGGATCATTCGACAATTCCCCATCAACTAAGAAATTCTCGTTGGATTGTCTTTTTTGTTTAGAGTTCTTCACAAAATTCCAGAAAACATTTGGACTACTCTTTACGTTAGCTTCTATATTTTGAATGTATTTGCTGTGAGCCTCTTTAATATCATGTTTCAGTTCAGAGCGGAGTCTCCTATAGTTTTCTAAATAAAAATTAGAGATATGTTTATTTTTCCTGAAAGTTTCTTTCAATTTCAGTTTATTTTTTATGTTCACAGAAAACCAAGGTGGATAAGATTTTTTGTGATTCAAGGTATTTGCAGAGAATTTTGGAACACATGTATCGAGTATACTGTAAATGATATTATAAAAATACTGTACCTGATCATTGACATCCGTGAAATATCCTAAAAGGGTCCAGTTGGTGTCCCTCAAGAGTTCATATATCAACGGGAAATTTGCTAATTTATAGTTATACATATCTCGCAGATTATTCCTCAATTCACCATTTTGTCTGAATCTCATAATTTCCAACTCACAATTCAGAGCTGGATGTTTTTTATCAAGAGGGACCAATGGAGAGGGTTCCTCGGACACCTCCAAAGAGGAATTACTAAGGGCCAAGTCGAGAGTTCGAAAGTCTTCATTTTGACAATCGTTGTAGGAATTTAAATCAAAAGTATTAATTAATTGAGATATCGTAGAAGTGATCTGAGAGTTTGATGAAAACTTGAAGTCCTTTCCATAAACACTAGGGATGTTGAAATCTCCCAATATAACTAGATGAGTATCAGCTGTAACAGCTCCATGAAGGTCATCGAATAAGTTTGAGTAATCAATATATAACTGCGAGTTAGAGCTTGGAGGAATATAAGTTGCATTAAGTATAAAAATGTTTCCTAAAATATTGGTTTTAATAAATATGGTTTCCAAATACGTGTCCATGTCAATTACTGATGAGTTATATTTTTTCAAAATAGCAATTAAGACACCGCCACCCATACTCTTACCTGTTCTAGCAGCGTCCCTATCTTTCCTAAATACTACATACCTATCGTCAAGAATTTCCGAATCAAATATACTCTTATCTAACCAAGTTTCCGTTAAAACAATCACATCATAAGTCTCAGCTAATGTATATGAGCTATAGCATATCCATGATTTAACGTGATATTACAATAATATGCTCCTGACGGAGAATTCGACAAACCTGAAATAATTCTCTAATGTCATTGGTACATACCTACCAGAATACATATTTTGAGGGAATTTTGCGTTATTTATTATTATCTCATTTGTTAACAAGATTATCGCAGTGAATTCATTGATATAATTTAAAGTGAGTAGTCATCTATTATAAAACAGCATCCAGTATCCAGCCTGACCTCTAAATCTGCAGATTCTCATCGATGTTCCTTAGAAAACAACTATAATCTCTAAAAAAATCATTTGTTTTGATATCGAATTCTAACGAATAACGAAATTAATTATCTTATTTCAATTTCAACGAAAACAAGAATCTAAATTACGACTCATCTCTAAGTATCTTTAAATCTTCCTGCTAATGGTTATTATTATGTTTTTCATTCCTACATTAAAGCATCCATCAGATCATATTGATAATATTTCCACCAAACCTGTGATTTTTATGTTCTTGTATTATATTCAGTTGAAATAAATGATGGATTTGTTGAAATAATGATGACAAATTGAGGATTCCACCAATTCGATCATTATATTGATAGAGCTACGAAGTGTCAGTTCAATAGTAGTCAAAGTTTTTGACTGAAGTTGGAGGTCATTTTGAACTATACATTGAAAACAATTTCAATTTTGCGTCATCTTTTTCAATTGTAGACTATTCAGTTTTTGGTGAATTGATCGACAAAACAAAATAGAAGAATGTGGATATGTAGTAGATGAAAAGCTTTCAATTGTTGGACGATTTTGGTTAGAAATTGCAACGAGAATGTCAGTTTGTCAATTATTGTCATGTGTATTGATTTTCTTCAATTGATCTATCAAATTCCAAGAGATTCACAAGAACGATGCACCAGAGTATTCGCTATGGGAAGAGCTTTAATATAATCAGATATTGGAAGTGAGGAAGTTCCATTTGGAATTTCAAAGTTGGAGCTGCTAATTGGGGTCAGGAGATTGGACACATCAAGTTGGTTCAACTGTGAAAAATGCTCCTCCCAAGTATAAATATCGATATTATAAAGAGAAAACATTTGATTGTTTGTTTGTGTGTATAGAATAGGCTCCGAAAGTACTGGTTCGATTTGGCTGAGGAGGTAGCTTAGAACCAGAAAGAGGTTGAAGGATACTTTTTATCCCGGTACCATTAGGAAATTCAAGATGATGGATCTTACATAACGAATATGGCGGACGAGTTTTGTAATTATCATCCAATTCTTATCAAAATTGGTGCCTAGGGGCTTTCGTAATCGGGGATTATGATTTTTTTGTCAAAATTGAGGAATTCAAGATCACGAATCCGAAATGGCGGATTTTGTTATCAGGATCCGATTTCATTTTAATTTGGTATCTGGTGGTTCTTGGGGTCGGAGATTATGATTCTTTCGTGAAAAATAGGGAATTCAAGATGGCGGACCTAATATGGCGGATGAGTATTGTGATTATGACTCTTTTCGAAACTGTTATCTGGATGTTTTTGGGGTCGGAGATTATGATTTTTCTGTCAAAATTTGGAGAGGGCGGGATTTGGAAATTCAAGACGGTGGAACAAATACACCGGACGAGTTTTGTAATTATATGTACAGTGTCATTCATAAAGTCGGCATCATATGGGAAAAACTTTTAATATTGATTTATTTTGGAATTCGAGTTGGACGTTGAGTTTTGCTTCAAAAATGATGAAAAGTAGGCATATTTGTTCGAATATCGAAAAAGTTTACTTGAAAAATTTATTTCTATTTCAATTTTACACATGCTTCCTAAATTTTGCAATTTTTAGATTTTGATTTTTTTTTACATTTTTCGAAATTTCTGTAATATTTGAAGAATTGTTAATTCCACGAAACTACTTCATACCAGTAGCTTTTTCATGCTACTTACTTTCAATTATTTATTATCACTGATTATGGACAGAAATATGTTTTTCTTCAGAAAATGATAATACCCGCTTCCAAATTCTGTTATGTTTGATGCAAAGTTGATATATCGTCAAGCATTGAGAAACGAAATTCATTCAAACTGATCTTTTCAGTACTGAAAAAATAAATTTAAACGAATTTCGTTTCTGAATGCTTGACTCAAATATAACAGAATTTTGATGTTATGTTTGGATCAAACATAACAGAATTTTGAAGAGGAGATTATAATTTTCTGAAGAAAATTATATATTTGTCGATAATTAGTAATAATTAGTAATTGAAAATAAGTAACATGATGAAGCGACTGGTATGAAGTAGTTTTATCGAATTTGCAATTTTTTAATATTACAAAAATTTCGAAAATTTTTTAAAAATATCGAAATCTTAAAAATGTAATAGAAAGATGAAATCCGAGTCACATATGTAAAATTCAAATAGAAACAACTTTTTCAAGTAAACTTTATTGATATTCGAACAAATCAGCCTACTTTCAGCGATTAATTTGAAAAAATTTCACTTTTGACATGTAGCGAAAACCACGTGACCCCGATTGAGTAGGCCATTTTTCATCTTTCTTGAAGCAAAACTTGACGTCCAACTCGAATTTCAAAATAAGTCATTAATAAAAGTTTTTCCCATATGATGCCGACTTTATGAATGACACTGTATACCGATTTCATCCAAAATTTGTGGGTGGGCGTTTTCAGGATCAAAAATTATGATTCCTTCGTCAAAATCAGGGAATTCAAGATTATAGATCCAATATTGCGGACGAGCGTTTTGTATAAATATGTTCCGATTCTATTCAAAATTCCTATCTGATGTTTTAGAAGTTGAATATTATGATTCTTTCGTCGAAATTGGAAAATTCTAGAGTGAACTGAGAAGAAGTTTAAATAAATAGTAGTTTGGCAAACTAGCGAAACTAAAAAGAAGTAGAAAATATAATAACAATTGTGTTTTGATGAATATCGAACTGAAAAAATATATTATCGACATAATGTATATGGCAAGATTGCGACTCTGTATATTGAATAAATGGGCCATTAAATCACCAGCTATCTGGTACTTGCTGATGAATGGTCAGGGCGTACAAAACTAATGCATTCCAAACAGTTTCTGATGACATGAACATTTTCCTATACAACTATGTGTTACTACATTACAAACAGTGTTCTTTCAGGGTGGATTGAAAGCTGCTATTTGGGCAGACGTTATGCAAGGTTTGACGATGATTGTGGTCTGCATGGCCATAATCTTTCAAGGCTGCTTCGAAGCAGGCGGTCCAGCCAGAGTCATCGAAGTCAACCATAGGGATGGAAGACTCGACTTCTTCAAGTAAGCGAGAAAATCTTATCAAGAAATACATTTAGAACCAACTCAAGCACTGAACTTGATTTCAATTCTCACCACTATAATATGATTTCGTTTAAGTTTCTCCAGTATAATTGTATACTCAATGATATTTGTTGGTAGTTCAATACAGGGTGTATCTGAATAACATCAACAGAATTTTTCGAGATACAGGACATCAATATTTCCATGAACAATTGTTTTTTATTTACAACTCAATTGTCTTCCCATCAATTACAATGAAACGTTGTGGTTTTGTTAATAGTAATATGAAGCTTCTTCTGGTTCAATTAGATTCGAAATAATGATTCCAGTGGCGTCACAGTGGGTACATATATCGATATTTATGGTGAATGTCATTGTACGCCACGAGTTTAATATTTTTATTAGATTGAACCTCGGATTGAACTATTGAAATAACAACTTTTTCATCCCCTGTGTGATTTTAGTATCTAGCTTATTTCTTGAGGAAACAACAGAAATTCGATTTGACTTTTAATGTAGACTTCCATTGAGATCACTCAATAACCCCAATCAGGATCGTTTTTGAATTTTGGCGCTTCCTCAGTCTCCATATGGAAGCTTATACAGGAGGGATAGAAATGAAAACAATTGGAACTTCAAACTTCAACGTCCTGAATCTCAAAAACGGAACAAGTTAGAAAGGAAACCTCTTGAATTTTTGCGGTATTATTAAGATACACCCTGTATATATGAGGTACCTAATCTTTTTCGGGCTTATGTAAAATCCATTCAATTTTATTATTATAGAAGGTGTCCAACGACGATTAAGACAGGGAATATTTCGGAACTCGAGAGAGGTGGAAAATTATAATTCTGGTGTTGTGAAATAAAGCGAAAGGTTCAGCTTTTTTCGATATTAGGTAACTCAACAAGATTCTTGTTTTCGGTCACGTGACAGCAGATTCAGAGTCTACCTGTATATTTTGGCATTTTTATGTTCCTTTCGAAACGGTTCCAACAAACTATCATACACTTATAGTCTCAACCAATTAATTTGAGAACTACTACAGGCACTTACTTGAATATTCTTTGTCCCAAAGTTATTTGATCACGTTTCTAATATACAGGGTGTCAATTTGAAAACTTCCCACCCTTAATATCTCCCTCCAAGTCGTTAATATGGAAAAACGAAAAGACAGGTCGATTTTATTCTCGAGAGGGACACTTTGAATTGATATTTTTGACCATCATGGTTCAACCCCCTAGGAGGGGTAGATGTCACCCTCAGAATATGAATAGGGAAGAGGGGTCAAGTGGCACATCATTTTGTAGGGCGTTCAATTCTCTTTCCAACGATACCCTACTTTACTATTTTTTGACGAGCAATTTCTGAAAAATAGCGTTCTAAATCTACAGAAGTGATCTAAACTTGCCTGCACAAAGATGCATGATTTTCAGGTTAGTATTTGAACAGAGTTTTTTGAATTGATTCTCCTTTCAGTAAAACTAGTCAGGAAATTAGGTGACAACTTCACATCTTTTCAACAGGGGCAACATAATATCTTTCTTTTCAACGGTTTACTTTACTATTTTTTGATAACCAGTGATTAGAACTTGCCTTAACTCAGATACATTGTCTTCAGGACGAAAATTATTGTTTTGAATCTTCCATTGATGAAAATGGTTAGAAGGTTAGGTGGCATCGTTACAATAGAAATAAATCTAGTCTACACACGTTTGATTTTTTGTTTGTTGGTTATATTACTTTGAAAAAAAACTTTCAGAGTGCCAGATAGAGATTTCAAACATCTATTCACGTACTATCTTATAAACTGTTCGAAATGTTGTCCATTTTGTTCTAAACAGTAATAAAGTCTGTTTTCGAACTCCTCTCTAACACTCTGGAAAACTTCACCACGAATCGAGCGGCATGCTGCTGTAATTCGTCCTTTGAGTTCATCAATATCCGTCGGTTGTGTTTTGTAAATGACGGATTTAAGATGTCCCCAAAGGAAAAAATCTAAAGGAGTCAAATCCGGTGATCTCGGAGGCCACTCAGTTGCTCCCCTTCTACCAATCCATCTATCCGGGAATCTGTCATTTAACCACTGTCCTACAGGAAGAAAATAATGAGGTGGGGCACCGTCCTGCTGGAAATGTAACAGATCCTCCTGCAGAAGTAAATTACCGTCTGCATCAATTTGATTTTCTAGCTCGTGAGTTATAAGAGGATCGATAGTATCTTCAAGCATATCTAGGTACAGATTTCCAGTCAAATTTTCTTCAATGAATAAAGGACCAACAATGGCATTTCCAAGAATACCAGCCCAAACATTAATTTTTTGTGGTTGTTGTGTATGTCCTTCTCGAAAAATGTGAGGGTTTTCGTCACTCCAATAGCGACAATTTTGTCTATTCACATTTCCATTCAGAAAAAATGAACATTCATCGCTGAAACAGATATTTAATAATAGATTAGGGATGGCATTGACTCGATTTGACATCGTTTCACAAAATTCTATTCTTCTATCATAATCATCCTCATGGAGCTCTTGAAGAATCTGCATCTTATATGGATGAAATTTATGTAATTTCAGTGCTTTTCTCACAGTCTCGTGTGACATTCCCGTCTGTTCTGCCACTGAACGTAAGGAGCTAGTAGGTTCTGCAGCAAATGTTCCCAAAACTTCAATTTGAGCTTCTTCATTCAGTACTCTAGGATTATTCCTTTTTTTATTTTTCACCGAACCAGTTTCGTAAAACTTTTCCACCAAATCAAGCACATACCGGTGACTAACATTACAATCTGGATTTCTTTCATTAAAAAGAAATGCCGCTCTTCGTGCGCACTTTCCAGCCTCTCCATAAATCACAATCATTTCAGTTCTATTTGAAAGAGTGTAAACCATTTTCACAATTATAGGTACCTACTCTGAATAAACGTATCACTGATTAGCTCAACAAATAAAACTCATCAATCAATAATACTACCAGATCGTTTGAATTTGCTGAACAATTTTTTGCTCAAAAAACAGAGTTTTTTTAAATCAGCAGTGGCAAGAAAGGAACAAAAAAGGAAGGCCATCTGTAGAATTGAAAATCCAATGATAAACGCAAATAAGCTATCATCGAAATGTCACTATTAGATTATTGATGTTGATTTATTGGAGCTGATGGCTAATTATGTTGCCCCTGTTGAAAAGATGTGAGGTTGTTACCTGTTTTCCTGTCCAGTTTTACTGAAAGGAGAATCAATACAAAAATCTCTGTTCGAATACTAACCTGAAAATCATGCATCTTTGTGCAGGCAAGTTTAGATCACTTCTGTAGGTTTAGAACGCTATTTTTCAGAAATTGCTCGTCAAAAAGTAGTAAAGTAGGGTACCGTTGGAAAGAGAATTGAACGCCCTTCAAAATGATGTGCCACTTGACCCCTCTTCCCTATTCATATTCTGAGGGTAACATCTACCCCTCCTAGGGGGTTGAACCATGAGGGTCAAAATGATTCATTCGAAGTGTCCCCCTCGAAAATAAAATCGACCTGTCTTTTCGTTTTTCCATATTATCGACTTGGAGGGAGATATTGAGGGTGGGAAGTTTTCAAATTGACACCCTGTATAAATATATACCAGGTGACTTTGAACTTGAATAATTTTTATGATTGCTCGTTCTTCGATTGATCGTTATAGACCACAAGTGTGATAATTTGCTGAAATCGTTTCATCAGCAAGAACATAGAAATTTCAAAATATACAGATTGTCCTATTCGAAATCAGAATCAGAAAAATTTGATGCAACAACTGATGCTCAAATGCACAGTTTTCAACTACTCTCTAGTTCCAAGATATTCCTTGTATCAATCGTCAGGGGACATCCTGTAGTATATATTGAGGTAACTATAATATATTTGATGTTCACAAACTGCTGATCTCTCAGTTGAGTCAAAGAAATGGGAGGGATAGTTTTTTCAGGAACTTCTTAGAAAATGGCAATTTTCTCTCAGTCTCTATCCTCTTCAAAAATGGCTTATATCTCTTTTAAATAAGTCTCATTCAGTGAATTTTATTGAGATTTCAACGGATTTATAAAAAGGTATAGATTAAGAATAAAACTACATTCGAATTTTGCACCTGCAAATATGTATCCAAATGTTAGATTAAATTGAATTATTTCAGATTAGATCTGATTATTTCAGATTATATAAGATTAGAATGGATTCTTAGGGCTTTCTGCCTTCACGCCACGACCTATTCAGATCTATTGTGTCTGCCTTTGAGACTCCATAGGTTAGCTTTTAGATCCACTATGTATCTTTGGGCTCTTGGTTTTTCCTCTGCCAGTGTAAGGAGCCTTAATCTTGACAAGCCCTCACATTGGCAAGATACGTGAACCTACACAGTATTTCTTCAGCAGCCAGACCTATCATTCTCATGTGTTTGTTAAGCCTACATTGTTCTCTGAGAAACCCCACTAGTACTCAAGTTGAACTTCATTTCTGGCTTAGTAGCAATTCTGTGAATGTTGGCGATGGTTTTTTGATGGACTTCTTAGCCTCATTCCTGGCAAGTTGTTCCACTATTCTTGGGATTTTATATTTGTTGTTTGTATAGCTGTCGCAATACCATGAAAGAATTCTGGACCATTCTCACATCCAAATGTTAATTCGTAGGGAATTACAATTTCCTACAAACATTTTCCCCCATCAAGCAATGATCGAACGAACAGCAAATTCGTGGATTATACTTGATTCATTCGAGTTTTTGTGAGCTCTGACGTGAACGGAATGGCAAAAAACATAAATCCTCCATTGAAACTGACGCTTTACAATTTCCATCAAGCCATCAATTTACCCTAAAAAAATTCTACAGAATTCAATACGGCAACGGCCATTCAGAAAACTTCGAACCCGAATATTACTCCAGCCATTGTATTTCCCTGTGTGGAAAACTTACAGATTCGACACCAAAGAGCTGAAAGTCCGTTTTAATAAACTTTCAGCCAACTAGACGGTTTCGGGCAGC